CGGCTCAGGAAAGCTAATCCCAGCCAGTCCAGGACAGGGGCTGAGGCACCACGCGGTGTCCTGTAGGTTGCACTTCTACATTTTTCTGCTCCTTTTCCTGCACATATGGACTGTGCAAGGCTCTGTGATTCTCTGCCTTCACTGACTGTGCCCCTGTCCATTGCCAGAAACATATAAGGAGCCATGACCATGTCTCCAAGGTCTGCAGGGAACTAGACCACACTCCCCTGTGATGTAAATCTCAGTGTGCATGGCAAGCTTTCTATTCCTTGTTCACAGTGTAAGATCTCTTGAGGTCCCAGCCCACAGCAGGATCCCATGTGCTGGGGGCTGTACATGCATGAAATCAGAGACAGTCTGTGCCTTAAAGAAAACTAAGAAAAGAGCAATGGTTTTAGGAGCTCTTTACACCTGGGAAACTAAGGTTCAGGGGTTGTAAGTGACTTGCCCAGGGCCACTCAGAAATCTGCAGCCAGCTGGAAAATGTCCCTGGATCTTTGGGCAAGTATCCAGGTTGTAGTCATATTGGTCTAGAGGAAAAAGCAATCAGGACTCATAACTTTTACAATCTTTTCTCCAATGCCTAATGAAGGGTATTTGTGCCTGAAAGCTTGCAAATAAAGATTTTTTTTGTCAAAAATCTAGTTGGTCTAATAAAAGATACCACCTCTACCACGAGTCCGGATTCCTGGATCTGCTGAGCCTTCATGACCCAATAAACCAGTCTGAGCTGGTTTTGAAATATATAGTTAATCATAGCAGGGCATCTGTCTTGTCTTTCCTTTCATGAAAAATCAAACTTCCAAATGAGTAAACCTATTATAAAAAAATAAGTCCAGAGAGGAGAATCAGGAGCTGAGCCAACAACTGAACACACTTGAAATAAATGGCAATTAATAATGGCATCGATCTCTTCTCTTGACAGTGAGATTAAGTGAAGGGAAAAACAGCATGAAAAGCAGGAGCTGGCAGCCTTTGCTCACACCTTCTTCTGCTGATGGAAATGAGGTGCGATAAGGAAGGACACGTTTTAGGCCGGTTGCTCACTGAATCAAAGCAGTTCTGCGGATTTGCCCCGTGCGAGCCATCTGGCTTTTCACCGACATGGCCGGGCTGGAACTTGGCCAACATCTGACACTAGAGGGCAACCTGTGCTCACATTTAAAGAGTGAGCGAGTCTGCATGCATAGGTGGGAGGTTTCTGTTAGCAAACCCATCTTTCTCATTATCGGCATGAGGTAAATCTGTGCGCTAAAGTGCTACTTACTTTAGATTGAAATACACATTTCCCTGGTGGGAATCCCGCCAGCCCAGCTGAAACCCGATGAGGATCTTCTGCATTTGCGTAGGGTCCAGAGCTGTGAGTTGAGGAACGAGGGCTTGTGATGGACTTGGGATGGACTTAGCTTTCTGTACATGCATGTTTCTGCTGCTGGAAGACTTGCACGGTGGTGGGGAGCGCTGGGCCTGAATTGTGCTTTTGGAGCATCTCTGTATCAAACCTGACTGCTGAGAGCAAGGAGTGCTGGGGTCCCGCAGTGGTCATTGCAACGGACTCCTCATACCAGAAAATCTTCTGTGACCGTGGGCAAACCACTGCTCTATTTATGAGCCTCTGTTTTCTTACCCAATCTTTAGCTCATTTTAAGTTGCGAGTTTCTTGAAGCAGGGACAGTCTCTTCCCGTATGTATATACAGTGGCCAGTAGAAGAAGAGCACTGGTCTTGTGTAGAGCCACAGGGCTGCTGAACTGATGTAATGATTTGGGAAGCTTTCAAGATTAGATCCATGCAAATTCTACCCCAAACTGGGCACATCTACACATTCATTAATGCACTGTAATGATGGTTCATTCAATTTAGTACCTGGAAGTATAGGCACTAAATGCACCATAATTGGTGCTACTGTGCAGTAGTGCTGGCGCACGTTTTTTGGTGATGCCAATTCACAGCAGACTAATTCTACTGTGCATTAGTGCATTAGTGCATTAGCATGGTTTTTGCCAGCCACGCTAATGCATAATACAATTAGTCTACTGTATCTGCAGCATCTCATGTAGACATGCCCATGGAGACACCTAAGGCAGAGATGCCAGATTCAGAGGTGCATTTGGAAATGAACTTCATGTTGTGAGAGGCTACAGAGGTGGGGTTCAGTCACCTGAGAGCATTTCCTAAATGCAAAGGGCCAATTCACAGCATTTTGATATGGAGACTAGACCTTACATAAAACCCCTCCATCATTCAGGGTTGCTTGGATAATATTTCCTTGTCTTTCAGGTCCATCTCTGCTATGGCACGTTGAATTATGTCTTCCAAAAAGGCACTCGTTATACTTGAGGGTGTTTCCTTACGCTTGGCCATTATGAAACGCCTTGTTAAAAAAGTGCTTTGAGCCCATTAACCTGTTGCTTGACAAGGACACAGGAAGACAAGGCTGATCCCATAGATATGAGGGTCTGTTTTATTTGTGCGTCAGAAGCAAAGAGGAAAAAAGACAGAAACTGTAAACCGAAGCAAGAGAAGCAGCAAATGAAGACAAAAGGAGAATGACTCAGAAGCTTGGAGGGTGGAAGCAGACACCGTCCCAGCTCCTTCCACAGGGGTCAAGCCTTGTGTAGAGCAGGACTTGTGGTGTTAACATGGGCCAACGTGCTGTAAGCCTTGGTGTAGAACAGCCACCGCAGCTCTAACCTGGGATAACCAGGCTGCTGCTTGGGATTTAAGTCAACTGCATTCACCTTCCAGGCCTTCAGGGTGCTGAATTTACCAACTGAGCAAGGGTGGGGTTCGGGTGGTTTTCCGGAGTTGCCAACTTGTCAGAAATCTAGACCCATATGAGACTGAGGAAGGGAGAGATTTTCCACCTGACTCTGTGTCTCAGCACCAATTCAAATAAAGGTGGAAGAGAGCTGAGACGATCTTGACCTCTGCTGGGCTCCTGGCTCAGTCGGAATAGCAGTAGGGTAAATTATACAGGGGCAGAAGAGTGTGACTGACAGTAGCATATGTCAAGTGTGCATGACAGACCAGCATGGTGGTCACGGCGGGGGGCAGGAAAACCATCACAGCAGCGTGAGCCTAGTAAGAAGAAAAGGGAAGGCTCTGAGCCCTGGACTCCTCCTTAGCATGGGTCTTTGCAGTGCTTTGCACAACGGGGTCACAGTCCTCAGGGGGACCGCTCCCGTCCTGGGCTAACAAATAATTATGGGAGAAATGGAGGGTGTTAAATGGAAGCCTTTACTCTTGTCATGGAGTGGAGTGATTAGTACTGAGCAAAGGAAAATAATGCGACTAGCCTGCCTTAGGATTGATTTATTCCTGAGCTGGGGCCAAAACTATGCCCTGATCCATAACCTGTTTGTCCATGCAGTCCCAGTCCCTGAAATTAGGGCACAGACCAGTTGGGTTGCCAGCCATACATGTGTTTCACTATCTTCCCCAAATAGTCTAAACTAGCTGAAACATTTAAACAGCAGTGAATGTGCCCTGTTTTTCTATTGACTATTCAAGATTAAAATATACTGGAGGGCTTCTCCAGGGGTGCAGAGCCCTCATTGATAATAGCTGGCTCCTGCTTAAAGCCTTTTCTACCCATTAGTATCAGAGGGCTGCACTAGGGGGCCAAGGTGGCTACCCCAAACTCACACGTGTGCCTCAGAGGGACAAAGGACTTGCCCACGGTCCTCTGGTGAGTCAGGAGAAGCCAGGTCTCCTCAAGCTCAGCCCCTAGCCATTGTGCTACGTTGCCTGTCCCTCCAACCTTTCCACATGGAAGGAGAAGTAGGTGGGGCTACGTTTCCCCGGACAAGTGTTTGGGAAAACCAAATTGCTTTGCATTTGAGACAGAAAAGCTTTGCTACTTCATGTTTTCCTTGAGAAAGGCACTGCTGCTATCACAGCTGATCCATTTGAATCCCCGGCACACGGGAGGAGGGGAGGTTTTAATAAACTTGTGTCTGCTCTTTGCTCCGGGGTCCTCAGAGGAAAGATGCCAGGTACCGTTGCTGGCACTGACAGCGCAAGCAGGAGGGTGCGGAAGCGGCACTCACACCCACGAGAAGCATATTCCAGTGTCGATTTACTCCCCTTTAAGTGCTGCCTAGTTACCATCTCATGTAAGAAATCTCCTGCATTCCTCCCCTTTAATCTCCATTGATGGTTAGTACCAAACCTGTGTCTAATCCCCACAGACCTGTAGGAGCCGAACAGGAGAGTCAGAGAACAGTTGCTGCTGCATTTGTCGTTCCTTGGGTAAGCTAAATGTATTTCCTTAATAACCAGATGTTTTTCTTGGCGGTTCAGTGCAAAACAGGCAGACGCGAGCTGGGGTCTGGCCAGTCGAGTTTGAGATTACCCTTACTCCTATGTTTATAACAGCAAAATACTAGAGTACCGCTTTGCAGAGACCGCTTGATGAGTACAGCATAGCGATCCCATGTGATGTGTTTCTTACAGGATGTGAGTTTTTTACTCTTAAAAGTATTTTAAATGGATATTAAAATGTTTACCTGGAAAACAATGTGATTCTGCATGAGTTCATCCCTGACTCCAGGTGAATGCACTGCTTCCATACCAGCACAGTAGCTGGGTGAATACACAGGGCTTTCGTGTGCGTTTGGTTTTAACTGCTTCCCTTTCTTCTGCTGGCCCCTAAAACACATCAAAGTCTGCATTAGTTTCTCCATTCACATGCAGAGTGCTTGCTTTGTTGCATTCTGCAGCGTCAGTCTTTTAACACTGTATTCCCTCCTTCCTTTTATTTTTTTAAAGAACTTCTTGCTAGTCCTAAAGACAAAGCCATAAAAAAGCTGTTGTCATACCCTCCTCACGTAACTTGGCAAGATCATGAATCGCGCCGTACAGCAATTTTGCTAATGCAGTGTATCCATTCAGAAGCAGAAAAGCCTGTCTGCAGATGGATCTGCTACTGGGGGATGTGAAAGCTGAACAAAGGTCATAACGACACTCATTAAATTCTAAGCAGCGATGTGTCGTTGCCTAGATCTGACCGAACGAAGCGGCAGTCAAATTTATTGATCTAATCTCTGATAAATCCCTAAGGTTAAACGTGAATATTGAAACTACTTGCCACTTAAAGGACAGATGCTTGTCGGACTGAAGTAGCATAAGTGATCCAAGTGATACAGTCCTACACGCCGCTTCCTTTACTATTGTGGAGGTGGCTAAACAAATGAAAACCCTTTGCATTTTTTCATTAGCCAAGCATTAAGTGGGGAGCAGATCATTTTATTAGGCAAAACCAAGACACTGTGAATAAAAGGAGAGCCTATTACTTTGGCAGAGGAGCCTGATTAAGACAAACATGCTTGGTCTTCCCTCCTCCTGCCTTGTTGGGCTCTCCAAGTCTGCAGGTTTCAAGCAGTAGTTGAGTCCTGGGCGGTCCAGCGAGATAATGGGAAGATCTGCATGTGAAACACATGCTAATTGCATGTCAAGACACAATTGACAAATGAGGTGTGCTTTTTCAATCAAGCATGCAGAAGGATATGGAGAGAAGACACTCAGGAAAGACTGTTGTGCAAATATGCCAGTCTGAGCCCCAAATCGACTGATCTGACCTCTACTATGAAATTCTCCTTCCCTGTGAAAAATACTGCAATCAGTAGACCCAGTCTTTGGGTGGGGGGAGGTAGGAGACCTCATAAAGGAAAGGTCATCATAGTGTCAAGTTCTGAGTAAACCATTAAAACAAAGACGAGCCCTGTCCCAAGCACCCTGTTCTCTAGACGTCCAGCAAACAGCAACAGGTGGATAAATGCGCCAGGGGTAGGGGATAAGGAAATGCATAAAGGTATCTGAAAAGCACTCTGTGCCAGGAAGAGGAAGGCAGGCAGCTGCTTATCACTGCAGTTCTTATATGCCCCTATATGTAGGCACTTCAAGCCTTCAACCCTCGCAATAACCCCGCGTCTGTCGCTAATTATCCCCCTCCCTGTTTTTGTAAAGCAGGGGACTGAGAGGAGATGGGATTTGCTTAGGGGCAGAGAGAGTCCATAGGAAAGAGAGACCTAAACCCAGATCTTTGACCCAGCGACTACCCTGCCCCACATGAAAGTAGGGGGCAGCAAGGGAAGCTGCACTATGAGCCAATAAATAAATGCATGAACGCTGGGTATTTGAAAGCTGTATCCATTTACAAGAAGAACTGCTGTCCGTGGACATGTAAGCCAGCGTCAAATGACTGTAAGGTTTCATCTGCGTTCAGAAATGCCCGACCCTACCGTACTTGTGTGCTAATGGAGCAAAGCAATGTGGCAAGCACAGTTTACACAGCTGTTGACTTGATCTGTTAACAGAGAGACTGTTAAGTGGAGCGGGCAGTGTATGAGCGCAGAGAGATCAGACATGGCAGAGGTGCCTTCCCATGCCATACCTTCTGCGGTTCTTGGTAGGTAGGAATGAGACTATGGCTGGGCATCACGGGGAGCCCGCAAAGATCACCATCATTCTCTGTCTGGCTTCTGTTTCTTGCTTGGGGGGTTGTCTCTCTTGCTCTCTGTCGCATGCTGCTGGGGCCTGCAGGGAGGGTCCCTTCTGTGTTGCATGGTCCTTTCTCTCATCCTGGTGCCATCTCCCACATTTTTCACCAACTAAACGGAGAAAAAACCTGAATTGCTGCCCCTGGGCTGTTGCTCTTGATGGCTTGGTCCATCCAGCTCTTATCCGCTGCCCACGTGACCTGGCTGGTTTCTCCATGTCGCAGGATAAAGCATGCTGGCTAAGACCAGTTTGCCTAGACGCTTCTCATACGCTGGCTGGTCAGTGGCGGGTGTTGCTGGTCAGTGGCCTGGAGCAAAGGAATTAGTAGCTGTCAGTCTACTCCCCTTATGGACAGGTGGCAACATCTCAAAAAGTCTTCTTTATAGCTGGAGCCAGCTGACACATTTGCAGCACATTGACTGGATAGGACTGGAGACAGAGTCGCCTTGCCCGTAGAGGTAGGTTGCTCCAGAGTGGATCTGACCATACTGGAAGGCATGATGGCAAGGAAGCTTGAATTGCTGCTGGCCAGCAAGTATCTGACCTGTTGTGGAAAAGGGATTTAATGCCAATTCCATATCAAATAGTTCAGAGCAAATTTGTGCGTGCTGTGAATTGTGGGCGTGTGTGAACTGGCTGGAAAGAGACTGTTGTAGCACTCGTATCTGTTCCTTGGAATTTATTCTGGCATCTGAAATGCTGCCTTTGGATACAAAACTCACTCTCAGCCAACACCTGAGTGTCTGTGCTTGACAACCGATTCTTGCACGTGAGTTGAGCTCACGAGTTTGCGGAGAATGAAAGTGTTAGGGTGGAGGGAATTGGACTGGAAGGAAAACTTGCTTTCAGACACAATACAAGCATAGGATGGTTTTCACCATTTCTGTGACTTTAGCTTTGATAGGAAGTTCTTAGTAAACAGCCAACTGGAGCACCTTTCCATCAAGGCTTGCATTTCCAGCTGTCACAGGCACATCAGAATCCAGAAAGTAGCTAAAGGTCAGTTCTGACTTGGCCTTTAAAGAGGACGTAGACCAAAGCTGCCTTTTTATTTTTTGCAGCTGAGTCAATTCCTCTTTCAATGAAGTAGAATTAACCTTTGGGATGCTATGCTGAGAATCCCAAAATGATACAACCATGATCATGAAGGTGACAAATTAGGCACCGTGAGAATTAAAAATCAACTCTGGGTGTTATGAGACATAGACTTTCAGCTTTGTTTCTGCTCCAGTGCTTTCTGCCTCTTCTGAGCACTTTGTTTTCCACACAAAATTTGGTTTCTGTCTCCCAAAGACTCAGCCGTGTCTTAAGGGCTTTTATAGGATGATATAATTGCTCCCAAGAAGCAAGATGTTGAGTGTCAAAGGCAGTGTTATCAGCATCCAATCCCATTCTATTTAAATGAAGAATTTTCCTTATATCCAGGTGAGAAAAGCCTCCTCCAGGGTCTAAAACTAATATTGTTTCCAAATACCTCTTCTCAGCTAAGTCGAGAGCTTTTGAGGGGGGTTCACCTTTCAATATATAGTCCAGCTCTGCATTGTTAGACTTCCTATTAAGAGTGCTCAGATTTAGTGTTAATATTGCCTTTCATAAGTGGTGGTGTTATTTGTCTTGCAACAGTGCTGTACAGCCTCTGCCCTAATGAATTTAAGGACAAGAAAGAAAGGGACTTATCCAAGTCGTGGAGCCTAGGTCTTCTGAGCCCCAGTCAAGTGAACTGGAGAAATAGTCAGAGAGGTGAAGTCCAGTGCCTTCAGCCATGGGTGATAAGGTTAAGCACTTGAATCAGTGGCCTGAGCTTTTGCACAAGCAGAGCACCCACAGCTCCCAGTGAAGTGTCTGGGCACACCTCAAAGATTACAGACCCAAGTCTACACATGCTAGACAAAGTGCTGGCAGGCCATCCAGAAAGCTCGTGGCAGAGCTGGTGTTAGAGCACAAGAGTTGCTCGTTCATAGGAAAGTAGGGCTAGTCGTTTAGTCCAGCCCTGTGCTCAATGCAGGATCATCCCTGCTCATGCTCTGGCCAGGAGAAGGTGCTGCCTACTCAAAGTTTACAGACCAACAGCAAAGCAGAAGTTTATAGACCTCCGTGGGGATCAGAGTTAGGCCTTGCACTTTGCATGGGTCCATGCAGGCAGCAGCTGATGCAGCAGATGAGGACTGAGCCGTATGGGGGGCAGCAGTGGAGTGGAGCGGAGTGAGGCAGGGGGTTGTGGTGGCAGTGGGTTTCAAAGGAGCTACTGATCCACCAGTGAACACCAAAAAAACTCCCAGAGGGCTCACTAAGGAGTAGATACTGAGCCAAGTACAGCATGTTTGCTGCGCTGCCTGTGTGGAATAGGAGCTACAGCTGTTTTCCATCCTGCCCTTGCGCTGTGGCTAAATGCAGTCAATGCAACACCTTCCATCAGCACCAAATTCAAACCAACACTGAGAAAAACCAACCCCATTTCTCCTTGGGACATCACCGCCTCCCCTGTAGCCACCACTGTGAGGCGATAAGAATAATCACACTCCTAAGCAACAGCCATCCAGTTTCCACATGCATAATAAAAAGTCAGAGAGAGAGAGAAGTAATGTACTAGCTAAACCAGCGAAATGCCTGATGTGAACTTCCTTTGAGGGAACCTTAGCTCTTTTGACCCATTTCAATGTTCAAGCAACTAAGCAGCTCAAGTTGTAAGCTGCCTGAATCTTCAGCTGTACCTAATTTTTAATCCATTAAGTCAAGGGTGCCTTAGTAGGTTAGCATTAGCAGCCACCCAGCAATCTAATCACAGCTTTTATCACTATATATAAAGCAAAGTATAAACATTTATAATTGCCAGCATGTCACTTAACGACTATCCCCACATGGCAGTGTCACCATCTGGGCACTTGATTCTTATCCAGCCTTTCTAATATTAACTGCAGTGCACATTTGCATTCTGATAATATTTGATACAGAAGGTCCAGTGTGACTCAATATCGGTTCTGGGGGTGGCAGTGAGTTGAGCGTCCTGGTAATTTTCAAGAAGGGTTATTATTGTGAGCCATTTTCTCCAAAAGACCATTTTCCTTGTGGAGGAGGACATGTTGCATTTCAAAATCTAGCATCCGCAGTCGTTTTGTGAGTCAAAATCTTTCATGTTATACCTGCATCAGCAGTTTATTGTGTGGGTGTGAAATTCCATCTCCCTGCTTCTTGCCTGTGAAAGATCCACAGCAAAAGCTCGGGTCCTCCAAGGGAAAATCTGAGCATGCACATATTCATGAGGAGTTATTGATGTGTGGCCCCGTCTCCCTCCTGCTTTGGACTCTGAGTTCCTGACCCAACCGACCAGCTCTCTTCCCTCTTCTTGGCAGAGTTCCCTGCATCAACTCTGGAGAAGATGGGCCGCATGGAAGAGGATGACAGCCGCTCCTGGAAGAAGCAGACCAGCAACATCCGGAAAACATTCATCTTCATGGAGGCACTGGGATCGTAAGTACATCAAGTAGCATGGGCGCTGTCTGGCCAGGGCCCCCATTGGAAATAAGGTTGAAAGTAGCTAACACTTACGGTGGAAGGGGAGACAGGGAAGCAAGAAAGAGATGCACACTTAAGAGAGTGAGTAAGAAAATAGTTTACATAACAGAGAAAAGTCAGCCAATCTAGTGGGAATAGCACTTTTACATAATAAAAGGGCGATAGTAGAAGTTCCTGCCAAGTATTTATCATTTTATTTATATTACTGTCCTCAGTGGAGCTACTTTTCAAATAGGTCCCTTCTCCCTTTTGCCAAGCTTCACTATCTTTCCATTTCCCATCACCTTTCCCTGTCTTTTGACCAATACTATGTGGCCGCAGTATAGTCATATGATCATATAAGAGCCAGCAAAACTTTGGGGACAGGTTTAGGAGCCAGGAACCCCTAGCTTCCCCACCCTGGACAATCTTGGTTTGATATTAAATAAGTCCCTTAAGTTCTTTAGCTGTTTCCCTGGAGCATATAGGGAGGCAGTTGTACCCTCACAGCATACGTAAGTGTATATGATAGTGGAGGAAAAAGGATTTGTAGGAATACATTTACACTGCTTTCATGCTCGTTTCAGTAATGGTTTGCTTGCAAAAAGTCTTGAACTACTCTGAGAATGGCTGCTAGAGATGTGCTGGGGATTTAATTATATTAATAGGGGATTATTGCCTATGCTGCACATGTCTGGCCATACAGGTGTCCCAGCCCTGCATCCACTCATGCATGCACCTGTCACGAGGCCAGCAACTTCTTTCCAACGTGGAGCTTCTCTATTTCCACCTGCAAAGGATAGGAGTCGATGACCATCCCATGCACTTACACAGACACTGAGGCCAGTTTAAAATTACATTGATAGCAGGGCCCCATGTCTGCAGATGGAAAACCACAGACATTCCTGGAGGCTTGCACTCGGCTCTGCACGGCAAGCAGATTTGAGTGCAGACTGTTGGTGGGCGCGTGCAAAATACACACAAGGCAGCCGCCCGACAGTGAAGGCCTGGACTGAAAAGAGCATTTCCACTGAGCTGGAAACCACATGGGCAAATATTGAAGACAGGAAGGGGAAAAAAAACACCCCTGAGGCAGTGGCAGTGCCACTGGGGCACTGAATGGCTGCTTCTGCACAAGGTCCCTTGTGGGGGGGAAAAAAGTCCACTCTGCACAAGCTGGCAGAGCTTTAGCAGTAAGATCTGTGGTAGGAGGCCCAGTGTGGCCAAGGCTTCTGATTTTAAGCACCACATAGCCTAAATCTTCTCTGAGAAAATCTGTCTAAGCTGCACCAGTATTAGATCACAGCTCTGCTCTATTTAGAAGAGCTGTTCTCAGGGCATGCCAGGGCCCTGGGTGCTCTGATCCCTGGAGACAGCTGGATCTCAGCTTGTTCTATCGATTATTTGGAGAAAATCCTTCCTGCCTTTTCCTGAGCCTTTACAAAGCCTCATCCGGGCAGGCGCCGAGTGAATTTTCTGAGTTTTTTGTCTGGGAACTCTAGTACATCACTGAGCCTTGCAGGGAGATGTCCCTTGCTGCTGTGGTATGACTCGACCTCTTCTCCAGAGGGGCTTCTCACTGGCATGCCTGCTCCCTTCAGAAATGTTCATCTGCTGCAAAAAGGACATCTCTGTTCTACCCCTGCCCCTGGGAAGGGGCTGCTGTGCAGTGGTTAGAGCAGTGAGGTGTTTGGGACATGTTTTTTGTGGGGTCTGTTTCTGACATTGTCACTGGGATGGATGTGCAAATGTGAGGAGGACACTTGCTTCAGTGACATGTTCTCTGTGGCTCAGGGCTACCCATACAATGGCAGTCATGGTCAAGATGGTAGTCCCTGTACTGTCTTTCTACATACTGTGTTGTAACTTGGCCTGTTTCCATGTGCCGTGGGGTCTAGACTTGAGAACCCAGCTGCTTTCCCTGATTCTGCACTGAGTGATCATGTCTCATTTTCCCTATCTGGGATACAGGGATGATACCTCTTATGCAACTGGTTCATTATCCAGACAGGTCAGTGGATGCTTCGGTTACTGCCTGAAAACTTGATGCACACACCTTCCTGCTCCTCAGGCCTGAAATACGCCTGCGCAGAGGGTGCAGGTGAGGGGCTTGAGACCACGGCAACATACCCGGGACAGCCCAGCCAGTAGGTTGGCTGGGTCCGAGCTCCACAAGCCTCTGAGCCTTTGGAGTTGCACCAAATCAGGAGAAACACATACTTTCTGCCTACATCTGGCCCTTCCTTTGCAAGGCCTGATGACTACCCTGTCCTTTTGCCTTATCCCCAAGCTCAGAGCTCTGCGCAGCGTGTCTGGACGGCTGCTTTTCACTTGTGTCCTGTTCCCTGGCTCACGCCTGCCATGGATCACTGCAGGAATCCCTCCTCCCCCACCCCAGCTTAGCCCTGCATTGCAGCACTCCAGGAGCTCCCCTGTGCCTGTCATCTTGCCTGGCCAGCTGTCCTGTTCACTCATGCACTTCAGCCTTACATGATTCCCCTTTCCACTCTGAGCAGCCTCGTCCTGCAGTGCTGCAGGCTAGGTGGGAGGGGAAAAAGCCTGATGGGAGCATATACGTGTAGTAGGTATGCGTCTCATCAGGCCCTGTAAAAAGCCATGGAGAAGATGCACACTTCTGCTTTGGAGCTAGGACAAGGAGCAGCAGCTGTGCCTCCACCTCCCTGCTTCTGCTTCTCCAATTAGGCGAAGCCTCCCGAGGCCGAGGCCTGTCATCATGGGGCAGGAGGTGGCCAAGTGACACATCTGCAGTCACTGACGGCCTGCGAGCACCCTGGTGGGGTACCAAATTAAGCTGCGGCGCTCTCATTCTGTCACCCGCCTAATGAGGAGAACAAGCCCCCACAGGGCTTGTGTCCCAGCCAGCGGGCTCCACCATACGAAACGGGGATGCAGGGAGGAAGAGGAGAAGCTGGGGTGAATGCAAAGCAGGCCTGGCAACCAGAGCATGTGCTCAGTCTTCCTTATTCCCCTCCCGACTGCTGTCTGGAACGAGGGAAATAAGCGTGTGTGGTTTATTGTCTGCAGAGCTGTGGTGTAAAGCTTGTGGGAGAGATTCCCCTGGCAGTCGAGATCAATCAGTCCTTGGCCCAGCACCAACCGTGGCGAGTGCCCCGACTGTCAAGAACTTGGATGGGAGTATCCCCAAGTTCTTGGGGAAAGCTCAGATCAGTACCTAGCTCCCCTGAGGATCTGGATGGTCAGCACACGTGGCTCACTGTCCGCGGGCTCAGAGATGCTGTTTCACTTCTTCCCTCCCCCTTTCTACCATGCATGGTGGTTTTAGTCACCTGCCGTAACCAGTTCTGCCAATTCCCTGTGGCATAAGCTGGCTTCAATAAATTCCTACTGCAATAGGGCCCTGACTCCTGACTGGCACGCATAGATATTGCTATGCTACAGGTGCATCTTAAGATAAGAACAACTGATGAATTGGGGATTATGAGTGGAAACTTTCCAGAAGTCAGAAGGATGCCTTGCTCCACGCCTTCACAAACCAGAGCAGCAGGCATCCAAGTTTTATCTTGGCGGCTTAAACATTTTGCTTTTTCTCCCCCCTCCCCTTCCCACCATGTTCCACATACATGCCGATGACCTATTCCAACACATACGTTTTCTCTCTCTCCGAGTGAACAGTTGGACACGTTCTTTAACGTGCTCAGAACTGACAAAACTTTCTTATGGCCACGGAGGAGGAACTGAATTGTTTTCCTGAGCTTTCCTGTGAGGAAAAGCTGCAGCTGAGCTCTCATGCAAGCATTGCTGCTTTGAATCATATGTGGCTACGGTCAGCTCAAGAGGAAGTTCGATTCTTCAGCAGCTCAACTTCTGAAAGGGTGAGGCTGGAGAAAGCTTTGCTTTCTCTTAGTCAACTTGCTGCTTCATGAATTCTTAATATGGGGGACATCGTTATTTTAAACTGTTTAGGAATGATGTACAGAACAGATGCTCTAACATCTGATCTGTAGGCTGTTCGTTTCCTACTCCTGTGTTACAAGGAAAATTTGGTATTGGAAACTAGGATTCACTCAGCCTGCAGGGGTGTTTCGGCAGTAATTACTTCCCTGGCTAGTCACATTAAATAGGAAACTCGGGGAGAAAAAACAACAAATTGAGCGGCCGGTATTCTAGGAAATTCCAGGGATGGCAAGCGCCACGGAGAACCGAAGACATCAATCACACCGTTTTACCAGTCTTCCGGGGGAAAGCAGCTGGCAGAGTTGATCCAAAAGAAGGAAAAAGACAAACAACAGCTTAGCTGCTTTTGTGACTTCTTCCCCCCAGCCTCTCATGACGACAAAGAGCCATTGCTAATTCAGTGCTCAGGATTGGCTTCTCTGCGTGAACCTTTTGGCTGGAAGGGTGGACAGCCATCATGCACAAGGGATCGCTTGGTCTATCGGGACAAGTCAGAGCTAGAACAAGGAAACAGGCTTGGAAAAAATGTCAAGGGCTGAGTACCTGCAAATCCAGGCAGGCTTTTCTAGGTGTGTGGTGATGAGTAGATGTCTGGGGATTGGGATGTTTTGCAGCTAATGGTGTGTGCAGTGAGGGACTAGTTATTTACGCTTGTTTTACCAAGAGGAGGAGAAGGTGGACAGATACGTCCTTGGCACTGCTCCAGTTGAAGTCAAAAGGGAATTCACTTGCTGGTGCCCAGGCTGGACTTGACCTTGAGTACGAACGATATCCCTTGGGAGGCGTGCTTGTCGTCAGCCCTGACAGTGCCCCTTGCAGCAGGGAGTATTCTTCCTCCAAACTGCTTCCTTCTGTAAGGGATTTCCATCAAGCATTTCCTGGCAGTGCAAGCCAATAACATTGCAGTGATTGTCACAGCATCACTAAAGAAAGTCCCGTAACTTCAACAGCTCTTTGAGAAAGAAGCCCTTTCAGTGCAAGTTTCTCAGAAATTATCACTGGCGAAGATCTTGTGAATCAGCTTGAATAAATCCCCCCAAGTTTGCATCTTAAATTTCTAGCAAGTTCCTCAGCTATTCTGGGAACAGGCACTTTGCATAAGAATCCCCTTGTTTTCTCCTTCCAGCATGTCTCAGATGAGATTTGACCCTCAGTCATGCCCAGGAGCTCACATTGCCTTGGCAGCTCAAGGGGCCTCATCTGCAGGAGGAAGGAAGCAGAAAGTGGTGCCAGGGCCACTTAATTGTCACTCTTTCTTCTGTGTCACGAGCAGCTGCCACTGGCTAGCAAATATAACTGCAAGAGCAAGCAGCTGTGCACCAGATGGGTACAGCTCTGCGCTCAACCGAGCTATCAACAGAGAATCATAGAAAATGATGATTGGAAGGGACCTCAGGAGGTCACTTCTAGTCCACTCCCCTGCTCAAAGCAGGACCAGCCCCATCTATCTCATCCCAGCCAAGGCTTTGTCTACTCTGGTCTTGAAAACCTCCAAGAATGGAGGGAGAGTCAACAGCCTCTCTAGGTAGCCTATGCCAGTGCTGCACCACCCTCCTAGTGGGAATATTTTTCCTAATATCCAACCTCAACTTCCCTTGCTGCAACTTGAGCCCATTGCTCCTTGTCCTTCCATCTGCCCCCACTGAGAACAGCCCAGCTCCCTCCTCTTTGCAACCCCACTGCAGGTGCAGAGAGACTAGGACTGACTTACTGAAAGCCAGAGAGGTGGGAACAGCATCTCCACTGGCTCTTGCTTGGTCTCCAGTCTCTCTGCTCTCCTTGCATCTCCTCCCCTCTTGCTCTCATAAAGATTTGCAGCTTTAATGACAAGTCCCTCCATTAATAGCACCAATTAGCGTGCTATTAAGGTGCCAAAAAAGAGCACCAATTAATCTGCTGCTCCTTTGATGAGGATTACTTGAGACCAACGGGGGAAGGCAGTCAGCAACACCATCTCGGAACACGCGTTCAGCTGCCTCGGTAAAACCGCTAACAGGATTGTGAGCCCTGAGGCCGATATAAATAGTCACCCTTCGTCACAGTGAGCTGCTGGGAGGGATGTACTGGATGCTCATCAGTCATAGTCTGAGTTGGAGTGTACTATTCGAAGCAGGTTTTGCCAAAAGCCTAAGCAGGGGAGGTCAAATGCCAGGAGCAAACTTTACGTAATAGGCTGGGTGTGCCCAATTAGTTCACTTTTAAGCTTTACAGAACTGTTTCGTGCCCCCAGACAACATGCCAAGTAATATCTCACACCTCATGAAAATGCAGCCACCTCTGTAATGGGGTGCTCTCAGCTATGGTGAGCTGGGAGAGTAAAGAATAGCTATAACTGAAAAGGCAGAGGTGTGCAGGGGGGACAACATATCATTAGGCACTCGAGTTAGACTTTGGACTCTGCACTTGGGAGAAGAAAATGGGGGACCTGTAATCACCGTGGGCTTTGGGTCCTGACTCATCATAGTTATAGCAACACGCTGTTCCAGCTGGGCTCACGTGAGGATTTAGAAGGGAGGGTCCTGCCCAGTAAAAGAGCATGGGCTCTGAGAATTGCAGCCATATGCCATCACTTTGAAGCCTTCCCCATTGAGATCCTGCTCGCTGGATGCATATGCTGTCGACTGCATGTGGCATCTGCCTCCCCTGAGGTGGGCACTAAATCTGATTGACACCGCTGAAGATTTCTCATGGCCTGACATGTGCAAGAGTAGCTGCGTGGTTGTCTTTACTGGTGTGTTGTCATCCTGAGTGGCGGTACGGCTCTATATTTAGTCTCGCTGCTGGGGGTCCTTTTCAGCTATTGTTGAAGAGAAAAGCTGTGAATTTAACCCTTTCCCTATTAAACGTCTTCTCTTGTTACAAAACAGGTGCAAACACTGGGGATTTTCCTATTCTCTAAATGAAGTTGGCAAATGAGTTCTCTGTCTGTTGGGTCCAAGCAGGATTCTGTCAGGCCATACCCTCCTTTTGGGGTGCAAGAAGTTCAGAGCCATATTTACAAACGGCTTGTGCTATTGCATATTTGCATGTTGTCTTTGCCTTTTACTTTAGCTTCTTGCTATGCATTTGCTGACAGCTCTGTTGTCTATTGAAACACGTCTGGGTTTTGTCTCCACAGAGGTGCCTTTTCAGAAGTTTTCTTAGTGAAACAGAAGGCTACTGGCAAGCTGTTTGCTCTGAAGTGCATCAAGAAGTCTCCTCTCATTAGGGACTGCAGCTTGGAGAATGAAATAGCAGTGCTGAGAAAGTGAGTGCTTGGTGTTTTGTATTTTATTTTTTAAATGCAAATACAGCAAACCCAAGAGGGACTCTTCTAGAGACCAGAATCATGAGTTTTCCTGCTAGGGGCCATTAGCTATTGCTGCTGCACAGATCTGCATCAAATTACAGAAAGAAGAATGAGGTGAAAGGAAGAGAAGAAAAAACTAGCTTATACTTACATTTCCTTAAAATCAAAGATATTTGTAAAGTTTCTTTCCACATTCCCCTGCTCTTCACCACCCAAACGTAAGAGGACAACATGAGAAAAGGAGAATAACACAGACTAAAACCAAACGCTGTCAGGTGTGAAGAGAGATCAGGTGTTCACTTTTAATAAGCTAAGCAATGCACAGAATGAAAAGCGAAGGGGGCTGGTCCTTTACTAACTGGTGGCACATGTGACTGCATGCCAAATGCTCCTTTTCTGGTTTGTGCTAGTGTTAATATGATGCAGTGTTCAAGGCAAGGGAGAAGAGCCAGGAGCAAATGGGCATAAATTGGGAGCTGATGGGATTTTGCCCAGAGCAAAACTGGTGTAAAGCAAAAGGAGCATCAGGCCCCAGACTTCCATAGACCTGTGTTTTCTCTTTGCTGGTTGCAGAATAAAGCATGAAAACATTGTGACTCTGGAAGACATTTATGAGAGCGCAACTCACTTCTACCTGGTCATGCAGCTGTGAGTATCAGAGGATTCCCTTCATCCCAGTCCCCTGGGGAGATGTGCCCATTTCAGCACCCACAGAGGGATTCATTCCTGTACGTCGGAAATTGCCAAATGTACCCACTTCCCAGTGTTCCTCATAAACCAAATATGAGCAAGGAGGTTTAAAATTACCATGGACACTTCCCCATTGTGCCTAGGCATGGCTGCTTTTTATTATGCCATTAAAATGAGAGAGAGTAGGATCCACCTATGCAAACTAATTTCTTGCAGTTAATGGTGCAGAAAGGCGCATATTTTTCATTAAAGCTATGCTGTGCACTGAGCCCACAAAAGGGAAAATAGACAAGCTAGCTGGGGAAAACAGCTGAGAGCATCTCAGATGAGGCAGCTGAATTAAGTGTGGACTCGCTTATAAGGGTGTTCTCACACAGACTGACCCATAGCAAATCAAGCTGTGCAGTGGAGCCTGAAGACCACTCCAGACACAAGGTTGAAAGTCATAAGGGAAACTCATCTGAGCTTTCAGGGTTTCATGAAGAGCATTAGAGCACTGTGGCCATTTGGATTTACCAGGCTTTGCCATTCAAATGTGTTGGCTGTTTGCTTCATTGTAAGCAGCAGTTCTCTGTGTCAAAACTGCCCTGCTATATGGGGCAAGCCAAAACTTGCAAAGAAGGGGATGGGTCTTTGCCAGTGGGCGTGGACACAGACATGGTCACCAGGTTGATGAGTATAAGCAAGGTGAGGAAATGGAGGAAAATTCACCGATTCAGACATGAAGACAAGCTACTGCTCTCAGTTTGGACTCTGTGCTCTGTAACCAGGGGTGCTGTTTCTCTCTTACAGGGTGTCTGGTGGGGAGTTATTTGACCGAATCTTGGAACGAGGTGTTTTTACTGAGAAAGATGCGAGTGTGGTGATCAAGCAGGTCTTGGATGCAGTGAAGTATCTCCATGAAAATGGAATAGTTCACCGAGACTTAAAGGTATTTTTATATGGCACTTCCTATAGATCTTGTGGGTCAATGGACGTAACTGCCCCATGGAGCTCTCTAGGACACATAACAAAACCCTACAACACTCCGAAGCTCAGGTTCATAATGCTAGTCCTACCCCCTGGGTCAGTCTGGAGGCCAGACCTTCCACTTCTAGCACCAAGACCACATGCCTCTTCCATTTAACTGAAGTGGCAGCTGCGTTAGCTGGTGCAATAGCAGGTCACAGCAGCACATTTTTCCATATTATTCTCAATGTAGGCTAACGTGACTTCTCATTTTCTTTGAGTCATTGCCATACTTTGACTTCCAAGCCAGTGGGACAAACAGAAGGACAACCTAGGGGTAAAACCTCCATGGTCACTGCCCAGACTTTAGAGAACTTCTTGGAAGAGCAAGGGAACTACATTTACCTGCTAACTCACTCCAGGGGCTCTTTTATTGGGTGCACTTGTAGGGCAGGTCTTGAGTGGGTCAAAGCACAGTTTTGTGTTTATTCGTATATATCTACAGAGCCAGCAATGTATAAAATGGTATACATATCTAACAGGGTGCACGAACAGCGTCTTTTCTGGCCCACATTCTTTAGCCATCTAGCATTTCACTTCTTGAGGAGAGAACTAAAGATCTGGCTCCCCCAAATCCAGGCTATGACAATAACACCAAAATATACAACCACTTTGGACTTGAGAGTCCAACATATAGGTCAGCTTTAAAATAAAACCCTTATTGTGGTAGGATCCCAGGGTCCCAGAGAGGATGAGGGCCTCATTGGGATGGACTTACCATACAAAGTAAGATGGGCTGTGCCCCAACCAACCCAGGGCCTAGATGTATGCTGACATCCCCCTAACACTCCTGTGCGGCAGGGAGGTATTACCAGCCCTCCCTTCCCTGCACCTCTTACAGAAGGGGACTGCATTACAGGGGAGATAAAATGATGGACCAGGAGTCCCACAGGGTGTCTATGGCAGTTCTGAAATAAATCCAAGTGCCTTGAGCTTCCTCTCCCCTAGAAGATGAATGGGGTTTGTAACTGGTCAGCGTAGCAGGCAACAGCCCAGGTGAGGAGGGCACAGGGATTCATTTTGGCTCAGGACCAGCCAGCTTTTCACTAGTTTTGTGTATGAATCTACCAATGACCCAGTCACTTGAAGAATGTAATTGTCATGCTTAATTATTGCCAGTACAGTATTTTAAATTTGGACCTCTTTGCACACACAGCCAGAAAACCTGCTTTACCTGACTCCTGAAGAGAACTCCAAGATCATGATCACTGACTTCGGCTTGTCTAAAATGGAGCAGAACGGTATCATGTCCACGGCTTGTGGGACTCCAGGATATGTTGGTGAGCAAAGACTTGTGGGGTGGCTCTCAATGACAACAGGAAGAAAACCCTGTGCTCTTTTTAGAAGAAGGCGAAGAAAACAGCATGCAAATAGCAAAGTAAAGACTTGATAATCTGGCCTATAAGCAATACATTTTGGTATCTTTCTACATGTGGTTTTCACACATGGCAACAGGTCAGCAAAACTTCTGCAGTGGCTTCTGCGTTACTTGCCGTGTAGGAATTGGGCCAGGACATCTTTCTGGGCAGTAGAAACAATGCATGAATCACAGGATGAGGGTCCCTGGCCTGGGTTATTCAGGAAGCCAGGTGACTAGATCATCATAAGGCTTTTTTCTCACCTTAAAATCTGATTCAGTCAGCTTGTCTTTCTGATCCTTGTGGCCCAGCAGGCAGGCGTGCACTGACTCAATGTGGCCATATACATAGTACTCACTCTCCCTCCTGAATAAAAGCTTTATGAGACCAAGCCTATGAGAGACCATTTTTTCCCCTCCATCAGATCATTTGCATTCTTCAAATGCTTTATCCTGCCTATAATTCTGACTGCTTTTTATTTCCTGCAGCTCCAGAGGTCTTGGCCCAGAAACCGTACAGCAAAGCTGTAGACTGCTGGTCTATAGGCGTCATTACCTACATCTTGTGAGTATAAAGCAAGCAGGATCCTTGCTTTTCCAATAGATCATGGGGGCTTCCACTTTTCCCCACGTGTATCTGTACAAAGAGGGATATAATCAGGGTCCCCCACTCACTCACGCCTCTGCACCGGCTCACATGATCGCACCAGGTGCCGAGCAGCAGGGAATCAGTGCATCAGCCTGGAGTCCCATTCATGTTTCTTTATCGCATCCTGTGCACTATTCCTTGAGGAGCATTAAAAAATCATTCAGCCTCCCCTTTCGGCTTCTTCGACTCACCTGCTGTCTCATTAGCGTACCACTCAGCTGCATGCCAGCTGTGGCTTTGTTTTCCTATGAAGCTTTTTAACTTGTTTGTGCATTGTCACACATTCGCTGAGCTCCACAGGATGGATATGGGCAGCATCCTCCTCTGCCCCTGTAAATGCAGGATAGTGTATGTGTGGAGAGGTTGGAGGGAACTGACCCTTCCTTTTTCTGCTCTGCTCCAGGCTGTGTGGATACCCTCCTTTCTATGAAGAAACAGAATCCAAACTGTTTGAAAAGATTAAGGAAGGCTACTTTGAATTTGAATCTCCCTTTTGGGATGACATCTCTGAGTCAGGTAACTCTCTCCTCTCACAAATGTGCCATCTGCAATACAGGGCCTGCTTCCTTTGAATGGGCCAAAAGGGAGAGCAAGTGGAGAGCTTCAGCAAGTTGATTCTTGCTCCTCCTGTTCTCACAGCATCGCCCTGTCCCCGCTCTTTCAGGTAGCCAGGACAAGGTCTGCTCAGGGAAGCCTTAGGAGAGAAGTAGCAAAGGGTATGAAATGAATATGAATTGAATTACCCCAACAGAGCAACTGAACTGGCAGGGAAGGCTGTAAGTCAGCATTGAGTTACGCTGGCAGAGCTCTGAGAGGCTCTTAGCACTAGGATAGCTGAAAAGAGGCTGCATTGGCAGAGCTGCTGCAATAGCTCTCAGATCTCCTGCCTGCAATGCAGCCTCCTTGCCTCTTGCATTCCTCCATTCTGTAGCAGCAAATAGCCCTGAATTTTCTTTCCCTTTCACATACTTTTTCTGCACTGATATGATGTTGAGCTGCCTCCCTTCAGCCACCTTGCCTATAGCCACATTCAAACAGATGCTAGAAAATGCTTGTTAACAAATGTGACTGATGCTTCTCACCCCCGAGCACAGCTGGCCTGTGCAGCTCACTGCCACAAGGTGCTACTGAGGCCATGGGCTTTGCAGGGTCCTTCATAAAGGGACTGGATGTTTCCATGGATAAGAGGATATTTGCATGGATAGCAAACATACTACTAGAATCGAAAGGATTTGCAATCACAGGATTTGGGGAAGGGATATAAATAAACCCCCATTGCTTCAAGGCTTAGTCTAATGGAAGTTAGAGAAGAAATTGCTGGGGTAGGGAGAGGAGGGGAGCAGGTGTTTCCGTCTCTGCCTACTGCAGAGTGTCTTTCACTTGCCTCTGAAGCAGCTCTCAGAGCCTGGATGAGATGGTCTCAGCAGTGATAGAGCCCAGCAGTTCCCATAAATTTGGTACAAAGCCTGGCCTATCTCATTAAAAGAGCGCCATAATTCCTTGTCATTTATTCTCATCACTGACAGTACATCCCCATTCCTGTGTTGTTCTAGCATGGTGCTAAACACCAGAGTTACATGTGGAACAGGACATTTTCTCCCCAGCATTTGCCATGTCGGTGTGAGGGTTATTTCCTGGAAAGTACTGAGATCTCTTTCTCTCTCTCTGCCTTTCCCTCAAACAGCCAAGCATTTCATCAGTCATTTACTGGAGAAGGATCCAAACAAGAGGTTTAATTGCGAAGACGCCCTGAGGCACCCCTGGTAAGAGAACGTGGGCCCTGCAGTGAGGACCTGTGTAGCTCTGCAGCTTTTATTCACCAACCTTGGTATTTTGTGCTACCTTGCTAGCTGGCACCTCTAGCATGCTGGGGTCTAGTTCATCCCTGCAGTTTACCTTGCTGTCTGCCTTGGAACACCCTGTTTCTGTCATCACAAAAGAAACAAAATGATGCTTAATTAAAGATGCAACTTGTGTACTGTTTGCCTCCAAAATAAGGGGAAAGAAATCCCGCTCTGATATTTTCCAGACTTTGAAGTGTGTGTTTGTATTATGTTTTGTTGCTGTTTTTCCTTTGGGTTTAATTATTGCTGATTGAATGTACAAAGCAGTTAGCTGCCTCCAGAATGTAGAATGCCTCACAAATGCCATCTGCCTACAAGCCGGTTTCTTCTCTCCCCGTCTGCAGGATTAATGGAAATACAGCCCTTCACCGTGACATATACCCATCTGTCAGTGCTCAGATTCAGAAAAACTTTGCAAAGAGCAAATGGAAGGTAAGTTGTTTGCTGCTGGGAGCCTAGAACCACTTCCAAAGCAAATGCCAATTGCTGTCATCTAGCAATGAGCAAACCTTCAACTCTATGAGTAAGCACCCAAGAATATGGACCATTTTTCTCCAGAAATCAGACAGGGAGTCTTTTGCAATTGATATTATTTTTATTGCAGTTGCACCAAAGGTTCTCTAGTGTGACAGTCCCCAGCATGCTCTATGATATATATAGTGAGAGCACCTGTTCTACAGAGCTTAAAGTCTAGACAGGCAGGAGAAAGGATGGTTTGTTGCTGCGGGGACCCAAGACACTAACAGCTAAACTGGCTGCTGGTGGGACAAGAACTGTCTCTATGGGACTTTTGCTGCTCCGTTCAAAATGTGGATTCAGAGCTGTTCAGCTTTGGCCAGCCAGCCGTAGCCATGTCATGTCCCCCCAGTTGCCTTGTCTAGGAAGCAGGATGCAGTCAGTGGCTCGTCTTTTGTACGGCATAAACTAATCGGTGCTAGCCTACACAGCCCTGTCAGCCCTATCCTTGCAGCAAATAATCATTCCTGGAGGATGCAAAACCTGCTCATGCTGTAGCCTCCAGGCAGCTCAAAGCAGGAGATGGTCATGGCTGTGTTTTCTTTCCTCTCTCCTTTCTCAGCAAGCCTTCAATGCTGCAGCTGTCGTACACCACATGAAGAAACTCCACATGCACTGCCATGCAGAGGCTGAAACCAGCGTCCCCCTCATACAAGTGGTGGAAGCATCCCGACCCGGCAGCCCCTTAGTCACCAACTTAGAGGCTGTCAACCAAGACAAGAACACATTGCTGCCTCTCATCCCCATGTTGGCTTGTCAGAACTCCCCCGCTCAGCTGGACCAAAGCACAGGGGGGACAGAGAGGAAGACACAAGATTTCTTGGTTAACGGGTTCCTGCCAATAGACAGTAGCTTGATCCTGCCAGAAAATCAGAGCCCTTTTAATAGAACTTCTTGGGACTGCAGCCCAGCCTGTGTTGGGCATGAGAAAGCGAAGACGGGCTTCTGCTCTGATTCAGTGCTTCATAAAAAAGCTGTCAAATCCCAGTAGGTATCTGCGCCGCTAGCTGTGACTTCTGAGTCCTGTTTATCTCCAAAGCCCTATTCCTACATGTGGGACTGGGCTTGCTAGAAACATGTGATAGGTGCAGCAGGTTGCACCAGGGGTGGGAAAGGAGGAATAAGAGAGATGGAAACTCATGAAGACTAGATGGAGAGTGGTGGCCAGTCAAATCCTTTTTTGCCCTTGGGGTGCCCTGAGCACCAGCTTGGCCAGCTGACATGGCAGAGCTTGCAATGGGCTGATGTACTACAGGGCTTCAGTCTCCAGGATCTTTGACATGGTGCTTTCCACCAGCTACAGCAGGTTCCCACCAGACTGCAGGGCAGGAAGGACTTCCCCTTTTCCCCAAAATGTCACAAAGATCTTTTAAGATGTGATGCGCCTCCTTCTGGGGTACATGGGGGATGGCTCAGCTCCTAGGATTATGTGGGCATATTTTACCCAGCGTGTTCTTTGCTGTTGCAGGGGACCAAGGAACTTGCAGACCTTTGGTCTCTGTACCAAAGATCTTAAGTTTCTAATAGCATTGGTAGGTGGAGTGGGCGTCCAGTAATGTGTGTGATTGCGGGGCAGGTTGAAATAAACTTTCTTATGGATCTTGTCCATGGTTGCCTGAGACTTTAGGGGATAGACTCCATGGCCCAGTTGCTCACTTAAAGTCCTGGGTCACTTCTGTCTTGGTTAAAGCAGTGGTCCTGGTATTCAGTAAGTGTTACTCCCCCATATCCACTGACTTCGGCCTCTGGCTTCAAGAGAGCTGCACTGATTTACATGCACTGAACACCTGGCCCACTGCATATATTAAAACATGTACAGCTTTTGGGGTGCTTTTTTTTTTTTTTTTTTTTT